CATGTTAGGAATTCATATCAGCCAACCCTGCACCTTGCAACACATCAAATACAAAAGGGAAGAAAGGATAGAATGAGAGAAAGGAGATGCAGATTTGGGGGCAGACAGAGAAGAAGACTGGCAAACTAGCAGCAGAGAGAGAGAGAATCTTGCAGGTTTACAGCTGATAATCATCCTCTTAGTTCGGTGTCAGTGCTTATCTCAGTGAATGCCTTTGCGTATGTGAAACTCTCAGATAAAGCCAGTTCTGTGAATCAGCCCTGAGGAAGTGAAAAAAAACACAAGTGTAGCAGGCTCTCACACACAACTCGACATCACCCCCTGCAGGTTATTCAAGCACCTTTCTCCTGACATGAACAACCAGGGCTAAATAAAATATAGATGTGTTGAGTAGTAGACAGCATTGATTCATTCTCTCTCTGTGCAGTGGTCAGCAGTAGTAGGAGCTGGAGCAGTGTGAAGCAGGCAGGATGTCCTGTCAAGGATAATGGAGGCTTGCCTCTGTTGACGTCCTAGATTTATATTGATCAAACCCCTGAGTGAAAGTGGTGCTCCAGGATTGCATCGTCTAATTAGATCCCATTTATATTTTATGTTGCTTTTGACTGTCAACAGTTATAATTCAAGTGCTGATCCAACATCTGTCCACACATTTACTGTCATCATAGTTGACTTATCAAATGGTTACCTTTCCATAGTAAATTTCCTGTTTTTTAATTCATCCTTCCTTCTGCCACCCGACTATTCTCAGTGCCCCCCCCCTCTCTCTCTTCCTCTGACTTTCTTGTAATGAGCCCCATGCGGAGCAGCGTTCATGTAATTAAAATCCACACCATTCATCTGGGAGGAAGGGAGTCTCCTTAATCTGTGTCAACCCATTTTTTGCCTCTGAGGATTTTCCTGCTTCGCGCCACGCGCACACTCTTACCAGTTATACTTGTGCTCTCTCTCGACACTCACACTGCCATTCCTCAGTGTTTGAGCCTAGCTGTGCCCTGCCATGTCACATTTAGCATTATGGACATTAAGGCCAATGCCATTTTCCTGTATTCATTAGGTGCAAGTGAAGAGGGATGTCTGTATTTAATTAATGTAGGCAGTTTGCTAGATGGAGGTGTGGACTATTCTAGGTAAGCAGAAGCACATCTGTCACCCTCTCAAAACTGCCAGCTTCACAGGAACTTTGATCTTCCAGGGTTTATACCGTATGAAATTACTTGAAGGCAGCTCCCTCTTTCATGCTCTTTCTAAAAATATCTACTCAACTAGAAGGGCACTAGAAGAGAGCATACCTCCACCAAGGCTGGTTGGCCACTTCATCACCACATTGCATATGCATGTATTGAGATGAGATACAGAAAATGTATGGAAACTGTTCACATTAAACACACACAAAATACAAATTCTCTAATATAGGTGAAACTAATGTATGTATAGAAATACATTTTGATTCACACAATTTTTTATCATTTTCCAGATCAGCACCAAATGTCACCTCTTCATAGATATTAGCACAGATGCCTGATTTTTTTCATAAAGATCTCTGCATTATTACTTGAGGAATTCACAAAATGTCATCAAAACACCCACATATCGCAATGTTAAGGAAAGTAACAGAAAAATATCCTAACCCTCCATTATAGACTTCACTTCAAAGTTCCTCTGCCCATATCCACCCCTTTCACCAAGTTTCAATAAAATTGGTATGGACATCTTTGCATTATCCTGCTAAAAGACAAAAGGCAATGACAACATAACCACATTGACAGAGGTAAATATATAACATTATCTCTCTAAGATTTCTTTCATTGCAAAGGATAAGATGGATTCATGAGGCTCATTTTAAAGTGCTCAGATGTCTTATGAGTTCCTCATTTTACTGTAGTTCCATTTGTGGTCACTGGGGAACAAGTGTGTGTGCTCTGTAGTGGGTTGTGTGTGTCATGGTATGTTCCCTTGGCAGAGGAGGCTGACACACCTCTGTGTGTTTGGGTAGTTTGTGGATGGGTCAGAGCATGCCTTGTATGCAGTGTTGAGCAAACAAAGACAGCCTTGAAGCTGCTACCCTTTATATTTCATATTCAACCAATATCCTCTAAATTATAGGAATATGCTCCGACTATTTGGTTGAGGTAAATGCATTGGTGATTTCAAATAACCTGCTTCACTATGATACATTGAAGTAGATCTGCAATGAGCCTTTTCCCAAACGGAATATGTGTTTCATGTAGCCTGGAGGCTCTTGCTTGAGAAGTAACTCTATTTCAGAGCAGCAGATTCTTAATAACCAGGGTTAAGGCCAGTTCAGCCACAGAGCTAAGTTGATTAACATCTCTTGTGTAAACCATCTGGACAAACATCTGTTGACTGAGATCTCCACCAGCTGCATTAAAAGTTTGTCCTTACATCAATTACAGATATGCACCGAGTCCTTATTTATTTATGTAGCTTTTCAGTTGAGTTTCTGATTAAGTCTGTTAGGTTTTGGCCATTTTTCTGCAGGACACATGAATGAATGTCAGAACTTGCTCTGATGTAGTTATTATTTTAGTTGGAATGTCTTAATATGACATCTCAGAGATAAGGTCAAATACAAGGAAACTGGTGGACTGTTGAACAATAGTATACTTTCATATCTCTGTGTGTCTGTGTTACAGTAAAATCAGCTGCATAGTGGGAAATGTTGTAAAGAGCAAATCTTAAACACAGGAAACAACAGAAGATTGACAATCTTACCTTTTCATCTGGACCAGAAGAAGAGTTTAAATGCTGCAGCCTTGGGTGCACCCACTGGCCTTTCTGTTGGTTTGAGGTTTCTTTAAATTGTAGGTTTTATCACTCACCATACTTGGTATGGACTATTAAGACTGATTGATGTGTTGTTTCTGCCTCCTTATATTTGGGGGTGTTTTTTTTCTACCACCAGAGGACTCAGACACAGATCTGCCTGCAGTAGTGTAAACACTGGGCTGTGCTGTATCCATAATGAATCTCTGTGGAATGTGCCCAGGCCTCTGTGTCTGAGTCCTTGCTGTGAAACCCAGTCAACTGGCATGTCAGCCATGAAAACCATGATCTCCATGTGAGACTGGTCCAAGTGGATCTGGTATTGATCTGGTTTTGCTGCTGCCGTGTCTCCTCTCTGTCTGGGGAACACTGCAGTCCACACTGTGCTGATGATACTGTGGCATACCTAGCAGTCGTTCTCTGGTTAAAATGTGTTAAAATTATCCTGATGATAAATGTTGAAGATCATATTTTAAAATCTGATGCGACATGATTAAAGATGTCACATCTAACATTACGATGTGTTAAAAGTGAGCTTGAGTCATGGGTGACTGAATCAGACTTTGTGCTGACGATGTGAAGAAGGGGCGGATTATACTTTAATATACCTTTTGTGGTACCACTCCCTTAGTTGGGCAGGCCTCTGTTGATAAGAGCTCTGCTTGCTTTGCTCATTTCACAACAGTGTGTACTCCACTGTCAGAGTTGGACAGCTCCGTCCTCAGGGTCGTCATTTGTGTGAGTAGTATCTCTTTACTTTGCTCGGTTGGACTTGGCATAGCAGTAAGGGGGTGGGAGAGGGGTGAACCTAACCCCCCACCGCTATTAATTTTAACCCCTTCCTGCTGTCTCTACCCTCACCCTCCCATCTATGCTCAGTAACACCCCCCATCTCTCATTCTCTAATTTTGATGGTAGAGTTAAGAAAGGCAGTTCCTGCCTGGCAGACAGTCTGTTTAAATTCCCCTCTTGCTCCACTACTACTTCTTCTTTTCTTCTTTGTGTTTTCTCCTCTTCATTTCTCTGGGTGTCTTTTTCGAAGGTACGTCTCATCACTGTGTTACTTTAGCTTTGGTTTTTGTCTTTCTTGACCCTGTGATTTCTTTGAGGGTGGAGGTTGAGTGAAATACTTACTGTTGAACACAACTTGAGAATTTCATGTTATGGTCGAATATTAACAGTTAAGTGATTATGTTGTTGTTATGTAGGTTTTTTAGCAATGAGGAATGATTGATATGTTGTCTACACTGAATCTAACTGGTTTATTTGACTTGGACTCTTTAAGTTTCCTAATGTCTGTAATAGCCTGGACTTTTGTCTTTTGTTGTAAATGCGTAATTATGTATATGTAGCAGTTACACCTAAATCCTCTATTTATACCATAAGATCATGTTTGTTAGAAAAGTTAGGGATTTATTTTTTAGGTGAAATTCTACAAGAGAAACTAAACCCTGCTGTGGTGAGTGAGCGTGCTAAAATAAGCCCAGGTATTCAGTAATACAGTCTGTGCACTTCATTAAATCCCCTATAATGTTATGTATCCTTCTACCTACTGGTTATGACTGCTAAATCAGTAGTTGTGTTCTTGTTTCCGTCCACACAGAAATGGTAGCTGTTGACGTGTATATGGTAAATATGAGCTTGGATACTTGGTCGCAGACTTGACAGCCACTTTTGGATTTAAGACATGCAGGCAAACAAGGGTCAATGAGTAACTGAGGGAGTGGTCAAGACCGTCTGCATGATTCACCTTATACAAGTCTACCTTCCCTGATGGCAGTGCATATGGGGATTTTTGCGATTGAGAAAGCTGCTGCAATTATTTGTTCCTGTGTGCAACCAAACTACTGATGTTTTGCAGTGTTTGATGCTAAAAATACAATAATGAATACATTTTATATCCGTTTATCAAATATCCAGAGGGAAAAGTCTGTTAAAAAACATTTTACTGAACGAAATACAGGAGGGAAAAAATCTTTCACATTCATGCCAAAATCCAGTAAATCTAATATTGTCCTGTGCAATCTGCTCATTGATGTTAACTTTCTTCACTATGGCCTGATATAAGAAGAGATAATAGATTATATCTAGCTACCTCAATACAAATTACATATTCAAATTTTTAAAGTTTGAATTACAGTAGCATCATACTACCCTTCTCTGTCTGTGAGTGACATAAGCCTAAAAAAAGACCAATCTTATGTCTCCTGTAGATGCTTTGTTGGCGGACCTTGAGTCCACAACATCCTACATTTCCAAGCGTCCACTCTTGTCTGACGATAGCGCCTACTCCATCCCTGTCGGGGGTGAGACAGAGCGAGACATCTGCTCTCCACCACAAGTCCCTACCACTCCCTCTGAGCAAGCCCTGAACGGACTGGATGAAACAGAGGTAAATGCACACTGTACATATAGTGTATGTCAGGGGCCATAATGTGAATGATTGTTGACTTAAAAAGGGTTTGATTTGCTGATGATTGCAAATTTATGAATGGTCCTCTGCACACTTTACTCAGTCCTTCAGCTCAGCTCAGAGAGGTCCCTGGTCTAGAGAAAGCAGCAGTCCAACCCAACCCACTGGTGAGGAGGACCACGTATACAGGTAGGCCTCATAATAACTTGTACTCCTGTTTTGCCAATTATAACTGGAAACATATATATTTTCTATTTAACTCAGTGAAACATTGAAAACTTGAGTTGACCTGACCAAGTATCTTTTTGATTTTGACTTTGGACTCATCGGTAAACAGAAACACTGTCTAAATAATGCCAGTTTAAAAATACAGTCTCAGTTCAGAGCTTTGTTGATGATAATTATTGGTTATTCTTTCTGCTCTGTACAGTTTCCCTAATAAGCAGAAGAGTAGTGAGTTATCAGCTGTTGCCATGAACTCAACTTTGGGCAGCAACCTGTCTGAGCTTGATCGTCTCCTGTTGGAGCTCAATGCTGTCCAGCAAAGCACTCCTGCCTACCCCACAGAAGGTAAACACAGAGACAAATTAACTATTTGTAAAAAGTTCTCTTATACTTCTTTGAAAGAACTCAGATTTGGATTCTCTGTATCTATGGTACTGCAAAGGAATGTCTTGTGTAGTTGATATGGAGTGATTTATGTATCTTTTTTTGTCGTGTAATAGAAGAAGCAGCTCCACCACTGCCTGCCAGCTGTATCATCCACCACATCCACGAGAATGGAGTCTCTACTGCTGGCAAGGCAGGACCACCTGATTTGGAGAAGCCCAAGCGGGGTGCGACTCGGGGAATAGAGGACGTACGACCAAGTGTAGAGAGCCTTCTAGATGAGCTGGAAAGTTCTGTGCCCTCACCCATGTAAGATACAAGCAAATGAATTATGCCAATACATTTCGATGTTTTCATTATTGTTTAGGTATGTTTGGCTTGAGTTTATTTAAATATTTTTGGCTTATGCTAAATTTCTCTTGACTGTAATCTTTTTTTCGTCTCTGTAGTCCCAAACCTTTGGTGTTGTCAGATGAACAAACAGAGGGACAAGAGGAAACACCAGCACAGCAACACGCCAGAATGTCTGCCTCCTCTGCCACACGAGAGCTGGATGAGCTCATGGCCTCCCTGTCTGACTTTAAAGTCCAAAGCAATGTGAGTATGCTTCACGTGGGTAGAGATTGGGCCTCTGCACACTTGACGGAGGGTGTATATTTTTGGCATTGTGTGTTGGCAATTCTGTTTAGGACTACAGTATGCTTCACATGTCTAAGGGTTTCATATTTATTTTTGCAGAAAAGAATGGGATCAGATGAATTTTATCCCGCAGTTGAGTTAGTTGCTGATCTACAACAGAAATGCATGTTGTCCGAGAAGAGATTCCTTGCTTTTTTACTGTTTCACATCTGCTGTACCTTCATCAGCAGTTTACACAGATTTCACTTAAGAATATAAAGTTTTGCAATGTTGCGGTGGCATAACTAAAGTGGGTGTTTATCTCAACCAGATTTGATTGAATATTTTAAATTGTTGTCACACTTCTGCTAAAATCAGCACCAGATGTTATTTAAGTTTTGTCATTCTCCATTTGTATGACTGCTAGATTTGTTTCAAGTTTGCAATAATGAAGGTAAATACCTAATCAACAAATTGCAGGAAATATATATATAATATAATTTTTTTAAATATTGCGTTGATTCAACAGTCCCCCAAAAAAGTGGTTGCAAGTTAATTTTTGTTTTTATTTTAGAAAGACAAATGAGAAACCTCTTTATCTCTTCCCTTTATTGTTCATTCCCTTCATTCTCAATCTATTTTTCCTGGTCTCTTTCTCTTTTCTCCATCCATGTGTATGTCTTGTCCCTGTATGTACATTGTAATCATTACATCATTGCATTCAGTCTGGCTCTCAGTTGTCTGTAAATCAGGAGGCACTAGACCCCTCACTTCAATCAGAAACCACCCCATCTATAAATCCTAATGCTTGCTCACTGGATACTCTTATACTTTCTAGTTACACTACTCCCTCCTGTACACCTCTTCCACTTGAACTCCATATAGATGAAGATGGTAGTTCGGCCCATACCACTTCAGCGGGTTCCACAGTAGTAACTGCATCATCCAAGTACTCCCAGATCCAACAGAAAGGTGATGGTGTCAGTGTCCCCTCTGATAGCTCTCATGTGGAGAGCCTCAGCGTCTCCAGTAGTAAAGTAGACAGCTCAATGCAGATGTCAACCTCTAGGATCATTGCTAGTAAAGTCTCATGTCCAGCTGGAAATACTCCAGTTACTGTTGGTGGAAGTTCTAGTCCAGGTCCTGCTGCCCAGAGCTCCAGTCCAGTGGTAGTTTCCAAAAGCCCTAGTCCTGTTACTGTGTCTAAATCTAGTCCCATTCTAAGAGCCAAGAGTCCCAGTCCACCTGATCTTAAATGCTCCAATCTAAGTCAGTCTTCAGAGAATCCAACTCAAGTTTCCATAAGTCAAAGTTCAGAAGCAGCTGCAAAGAATCAAAGTCCAGTGACAATCCGAACAAGTCCAGAAGTAGTGCCTATGACTGTGAGTCCAGTGACAGTCCCAAGGCTTTCAAGTCCAGTACCAAAATGTGCAAGTCCAGTGACAGTCCGAAATCTCTCTAGTTCAATAACTGTCCCAAAGAGTGCTAGTCCTGAAATGGCTCCTAAGAGTGCAAGTTCAGTGTCACTACAAAGAGTTTCAAGTCCTGTGACAATCCCTCATATCGCCAGCTCACCATCTGTACCTAAGAGTTCTAGTCCTGAAACAATTCAAAATAATCCTTCTCCAACAATATCGCCAAGACTTTCAAGTCCAGTAACAGTTCCAAAGAATGAATCTGCAGTTCCTACGAGTCCTGTGTTGAACATTAGAAAAACAATCACAGTGTCAGGCACCAGTAGTCCCAGAGCTTCACCTATTTCACTTGCTGCAGTACCATCAAATAGTCTGTCTCCCCCAACCACAGCAAACCACGCAGGTGATGGTCTGTATTTAACATGGCCATGCCGTGAGCCTTTTTTGGATGATGCTTTAGACAGACTGTTAACATATGACTCCCCCCAATTGGGTGAGCACCAGCCACCTGCTCCCTTTATGCCTGGAGATGAAGACAGATCATGGGAGGAGGAAGATGGGACTTACCCCGATCTGAGCCGAGAGGGAACCCTTACACCCATGACTGAGTCCAGCTGGATGGACGAGTGTTTCACCCCCTCCACCTGCCCTGGGACGCCAGATGCAACGTTGGACCTGCCCTCACAGCAGCCCTCTGCTGTGGAGCGTCTATCTGCCTCTGGCCAAGTAGGAGGCTTGGCTCGACCCTACTCTTCCAAAATAAGCTGCTTGCATAAAGCTAGAGAGGCTTTAGGACCCCATGTTGTCTTTATTTGGCCATGTGACGCAAGATATTAATTGTCTCTGACAATAATGGCAGGATGGCTGTCAGAAGGCTGTTCTAGCAGAGGGCACCTCTAGTTGCTGAAACAAGCTTATTTTGGGAGAGCAGCTTGAACAAATACCCCAGGAGCTGTGCAATAGTACAAAACGTCTTGATGAGAGAAATTCATCTATCTCTGGTGTGATGCATGGGGTGTCATTGCATAGCAATTATGAAATGGCTTGAAGGAGAAGTCTCTGTGGCTGATGCTGACAGCTTTACTGAAAGGATGTGTTCACACGCCCCTAATTGCTTCAGTAGACATTGCACTGTTAGTCACTGGGCCTGACCAATCATGTTTACACAACCAAGGAATGACGCAACCATTGACTATGTCAATACAGCAAAATGATAAAGGCTACGCAGTAAAGTGGATATTTTAAATTTTTGCTAATGCATATATGCTTTATGAACATCCATCTGTGCTTCTTTGACCTTTGGCCTTGCTTTGGCATGTGCTGATCTTTTGTGAAAGCATTTTGTGATTGACTTGTGTTGGCCCCACATCAACTATCCAGCATGCCACGCTGCCGATTCTTCATTAGTAATAGACTTGATAGTGGAGAATGGATTTAAATGGAAGGCTGTGCTACCATAAGGAAAATGGAATAAACCTGATAAAACTTGCAGAGCATTTTGTCAAAGCTTGAACATTTTTGCCACTTGAGTGTTTGAATCCTGTGCTGGGCCTGTCCTTTTCTATGATTGCAATCCAACATGGATTTTCTTGTGAATGGCACAACCCGAGCTTCCCACACCTCCCTATTATCTACTCTCCAGCTCAAGTCAGTTATCCGCCGTACCAAAGAGACTACCAATGTGCATCCGATGTTCAGGGAGGGGCTGTTGCGGCGTAAAATGGGACCAATCATTGTGAACAAAAGCAACTCGCAAGATCGACTCATTGAGGAGCTGCAGGGGAAACTGGGGATAGGGCGAATGGAGCGCCGGCGCAAACAACAGCCAGATGACTGGCTGGCGGAGGGAGTCATTGTAATGTCTAACCCACAGCGAACACGTGAAGAAGCGGCCCGGCCAGCTGTGAATAAGGTAGACATGAGGTGCACAGCAGAAATAGTCGGTGCTTTCATGGATAATGTTAACCTAGAGTTAGGTAATGATGTCCCTTAGTTTGTTCACGTTTTTGGCCTGTAATTAATGAATTAACTAGCAAATATTAAAGTTATTTGGTTTCCTCACCAAAATTGTATTTATTTATTGGCAGAGTTCATTGTGCCAATATTTCTTAGATCTCCATTTCTTTTCTTCATCCTGACCCTGTCTCTTATCTGTTTGCTTTCCTCTCTTTGCTGTTTTTTTCCCCTTCTTTTCCCCAGATCCTCATCCCTCCTGAGCCATCTTCCCCACAGAGAAAAGTCCTGCCCCCTCCGCAATCACCCCCAGCACCCAAAAAGCCACCCCCTGTCAAGCAGACTCCTCCACCACTACCTCCTCCCCCCCCAACCCCTCCTCCTCCTCGAGAACCCACCCCTCCATCCCCCAAAGAGCCAACTCCTCCCCCCAGGGAGCCCACGCCTCCCCCTAGGGAGCCCACGCCTCCCCCTTTCCAGCCCCCTCCCTCGCCTAGCCCCCCTCCCAAGCCTGTCACGCCACCTCCGCCTCCCAAGGTCTTTGTATCAGTGGGGTGTCAAACCGACTACGACCCAATCTTCCCACCAATGCAGGCATGGATCATGTCTTCATCTGTCCCTGTCCTCTTCTCTGACCTATTACTCTCTTTCCACTTTCTCTCACTCTTGAACTGTTTGACTCTCTGTTTACAGATTGTTTATTCATTCAGTTGAAATCCAAGTAGTTGTATAACCTCAGTATAAGTGTGAACTACAAACATTGTCTGGTCATCGAATTTGTCACCTGGTGTCCGTTCCTGCCACATTGCAGTAGATACCCTCTTTAAAGCTTTGTCTGAAATCCAGTCAGTCCACGTTATGAGGGGTGCTGACATTCAGGCCATTGAGACTGAGCTCCCTTTTCTAATTCTAACATCTGATGGCGCCAGGAGCTGTGTGTTCAGAGTGGAGTGGCGAGTTTAAGAGCTTAGAGTCAAGCAGAGTGTAACCTGCCCATGTTCCCGTTACACTTACTGTCCTGTCATGAGCAGGAATGGTAAACTCGCGGTGCAACTGAAACCTAATCTGCCACATGACAGCACAGTTACCACCACAATTATAGCATCTCCCACTGGACTTCCGTCAACAGGTCCCACTAGGTTAGACACCAGTGTGTCCTTGTTGAATACCGTGTAACCTCAAGTCTTTTAGAAGTAGCTTTACACTTGTGGAGAGGTGGATTGACATGAGCCGCATAATATAAGTGCATATGTATTTGGTCAAGGGTAAGGTGTGTGTGTGTGCGTGTGCATGCGTGTCTGTGTGTGAGTGAGAGAGAATTTATAAGCAGAGATGCTATTTTCTCTCAGTGGAATGTAGGAGTCATGAAGCTCCAATGACCACACCATCTGAGAAGGTCTGTTTGCTTTCATTACAGAAGCCAAATGCACATTCACATACAACATCAAACACTGGAAACATGGACTATGTTATATCAAATTATACTTATCCATTAGCCTTGGTATTCTCTTTAATTTAGTTGTAGTTAGCTTTAGTGTCATACTGTTAAATATTCATTTGTACAACATTTTCTATATGTATTCTAAATATTTCTATTCCTTAGAAGTGTAAGCATGTCTTCTTTGTTTCTGTTGCCTTATAGACTTCATAGACTGAATATCAGAAGCGTCAATGTAGGATTACTGAGTGCAGTGCCATTAATAATGAGTCATTTCTGTTGTCAGATCCAGTCCCAGGGAAAGACGTCTCCCACTGCACCCCCCAAACCAGCCAACAAGCTGGACAACATGCTGGGAAGCCTGCAGTCAGACCTCAATAGACTCGGAGTCCAGACCGTGGCTAAGGGCGTCTGTGGAGCCTGCAAGAAACCCATTGTTGGACAGGTGATGATAATACTGAATCAAACAAGTCAGTCTAGGTTCAAATGAGACCACAGTTAGTATACGTACTGAATGAGAACCTGCATATAAAGTACTTCTGATTCTGATATGTTAAGACATGATTTTGGTGGATTATGCTAATATATTATCTCAGGGCATTGGAGCACGAGTGACACATGATGCAAGTACCAAATGGACTTGTAAAACATCATAGCTGTTTTTTGTTGCTATTATGGTGAAAGGAAGATTGCACACTGGCAAATGAATTCGTCCAAGTTGGATGGGTTGTTCCAGTGTTGGCTCATGTTCTGCATATCTTGGGCTTTGCAGATCGTTCGATGTCAAAGCCACCCAATTAATCAATAATTGTACTGACTTACTTATACTTACTATACTTGCTAACTCAGAAGCAGTAGTATAGCAGAAATATAGGAAATTACAGCATTTGTGTAGCTCAAATCAACAATAACCAAAGGGAGGTTTTCTCCGCACTTGTATTTTCATAACAATTGTCGTTCTATCAAGAGATTTTGTCAGCGGTTTATCAGCTATGATGATCTGCTACAATGCTTTCAATTTGAAAACAATTAAGATGGACTAAATTAAAGGATTTTTGTTCATAAGAAACATAATGAATAGAATTCCACTAAAATGAATGGGATTAAAATGAATATGGACTCAAATGAATATGGATCAATAAATGGATATGAAACACTAAATTATGAGATTAACATTTGCCGCTGTGCTGGTGTATGTCCTTTGCTTCTTGCATGCAAGGCTGCAGTGATTTTTCTTTGTTCATCAAGGCCTTGCCCCCAACAGCTCATTTAATTTTAATGCTCTGTCTCCCCATACCAGGTGGTGACGGCCATGGGCAGAACATGGCACCCTGAGCACTTTGTGTGCACGCACTGCCAGGACGAGATCGGCTCCAGAAACTTCTTTGAGCGAGATGGGCAGCCATACTGTGAGACCGACTACCACAACCTGTTCTCACCGAGATGCCACTACTGTAACAGACCCATACTGGATGTTAGTAACGCATGCATACACACACACACTCACATATATATATATATACTGTACATGTGGGTGGATAATAATATTTATTTATTCATAACCTAATGGATTAAGACCTAAGTGCAACAACTACTACAGGTGAGAAATTGCTGCTCTTTATCATCGACACAAGCTGTGACACAGATACACACATGCATAAACACACACACACACACACACACACACACACAGTGGTGGCAGTAAAAGGGAAGTGACTTGTAGTTGCAGTACGCCTCCAGTCAAACTAACACATATGTCCATGTCACTGCTTACTTCTCTCAATTGTCAGTGATCAGTCATATCTTCGTAGTGACACACTCCCACCAGGACGTTTACAGCCATTGCACCTATATACACATTCAAACACATTCACGCACACGAACACATGAACGAACACACACAGTAATAGAGATGCTGGAAAGAGAAGGAGATATTAGATAGTGGACAGTGGACTTAAGCCTGGGAAAAAGCCAACATGTGCTCTCTCTCTCTCTCTCTCTCTCTCTCTCTCTCTCTCTTTCTCTCTTTTCTTTTTTTGAGCTTTCATACTTTGGTTTATGTGCTTTTAATACTGGTGCTGGAAAAATGGAGTCATGTTCTAATGGTCTAAGGGAACCACTCAAATTACATATTTATAGCTAAGCTATGTGCATAAATTAACCACATCTTTGACAAAGGATTTCTCAGTTGTGTCATTGTTCTGGATAGAATTTGTGATGCCTAGATGTGCCTCTAGCGTTTTTATGTAGTTCCTCTAAATCTCCAACTTCTTATATTATCTATACAGATAATGAATTGTATTATAACAGTTGTCCTCCCTCAATATATCACCCTTTGTTTGAACATTGCACCCCCTGGTGGCAAAGTCAAGAATCACTGTAAAACAAATGTTTGGGCTTTACATTGAGCAATGTTCACCCTGCAGCAGAGACTTGCTTGTTGTGGGTATTTTAAAATCTTGTGTCACATGGACAGTGTGAGTGTGTTTCCAGCTGAAGCTGCTGAGAGATACTATCAGGCCAAACATGAGCTACCGGTCATATCATCCCAGCACCTCTCACCATGCTGCCTTTGTGGGCTCTGTCTGCCCTCTCCTGGCCTCCCAGCCACTGATGCATTAGTTTCTCCCATAATAAGAGACCTACATATTTATATGTTAACCTTTCTTAACGTTGGAGTAGCATCAGAAGTTATATTTATAGATGACACCTTCAGGCAAGAGTGACCGTTTGCTTTTCCTTTGCTTCACAGAAAGTTGTGACTGCATTGGACAAGACCTGGCATCCAGAGCACTTTTTCTGTGCCCAGTGTGGAGCCTTTTTTGGACCAGAAGGTATCAGCCGCTCATCAGTTAATGACACAATACCTGTCTGTTTGTGTGGCCTAAAAGCAGAATTGAATTTTCATTTTTAAGTTGCTGACAGTGTTTGTTTGCTGCTCCCCAGGTTTCCATGAGAAGGATGGAAAGGCCTTCTGCAGAAAGGACTACTTTGACATGTTTGCCCCTAAATGTGGCGGCTGTGCCCGTGCCATCCTGGAGAACTACATCTCAGCACTCAACTCTCTCTGGCACCCTGAATGCTTCGTTTGCAGGGTGAGTCACTTGACTTTTACAGTCACACCAGGTATCTTTAAACTGTAAATATTATCCTGGAATCCTAAGTGTATATATTCTATTTTTGGAAGTAACTTTCTTTTGTATATATTTCAATTTCCTTGCTTTAGTGATCCATAATTTCTTTTTAAATCTTATTTACGTATTAACACTTTTTTTATCCCTTTGGTACATTTACACAGAAACCTAATACCCCCCCATCACAAATTTCACTGCATGTTTTATGTTGTGCAAGTGACAAATAAAAATCAATTAATCCATTCTGTGATGAATTTAACCATTGTGCCAACCCATCATCATAAACTCTACCTCTTCCTAACCTGCAGGAGTGCTTCACTCCATTCATAAACGGCAGCTTCTTCGACCACGACGGCCAGCCGTACTGCGAGGCGCACTACCACGAGCGCCGCGGCTCGCTGTGCTCTGGCTGCCAGAAGCCCATTACCGGCCGCTGCATCACCGCCATGGGCAAGAAGTTCCACCCTGAGCACTTTGTGTGCGCTTTCTGCCTCAAGCAGCTCAACAAAGGCACCTTCAAGGAGCAGAACGACAAGCCCTACTGCCACGGCTGCTTTATTAAACTCTTCAGTTAGACTGTGGGTCTGTGTTTGAATGCACATGTGGATTTGTTTGCCCTCTTGTCAGTGATGTGGTTTTTAAGAAAGAGGGTGGGTAACATCAACTCAACACTGAGGGGAGTTTCCTGACTGTCCAACCTCTCAGGTTTGGCATTTCACACTTTTGCTAAAACATTTTTAAGAGAGCCCAAAGAGATTTTTATTTAGAGGTTTATTCCTGTGTGCAGCAATGAAAAGATGCTAAGTTCCCTGTGTGTGTGTGGGTACATATATAAACATACGAGAGAAGCCGTGAGACTTCCTCAGAGCTGTGATTTGGAAATGATTTTATTCCCGCAGGGCAAGACCTTGCACAATATGGTGGTTTTACAATATGCAGATATGAGACGGCTGCTTAACTGCATGGACCACAGAGAGCTGATTTCATCAGATATAACGTATGTTGAGTGTTGAATATCCAGTGCTTGGCCAATGAGTGTTAATAATCTATGAGAAAGATGTATTTTTCTACCTTTGGAAACTGTTGATGTGCCATTTTGAAATAACCATGTAAACTCTCCATATGTACAGAACATGCACACAGACAACTCAGTCCTCACTTCTTTCAAATACCAGTTCAAACTCTTTGCACACTCCAACCACAGATCTTCTGATGAAACTATCCTAAAGGTGCATTTTTACAAATTGTTCTCATCAGGATGTTATATCTTATTTTTCTACTCTTTTACTATGAAAAAAACCGAGATGTGTTTTCAGTTTCAGTACATACACACCTGTGCTTGTGTAACTTCAAAATCAGTCATTTACTACAGCAAAGAGTGTCGTCATTTACATTAATATTGTGAAGTGAAATTAAACCATTACAGCTCGTGATAACAAAAAGCAGGTCCATAAGAATTATGTTTTTTTGATTAAAAAAGCTAAAACGTTATTGAAAGTGAAAATTAGCTCTTCTCAGAAAACCTTTTCAGTTCAACTTTTTTTCCCCTCATATTTTCCTTATGCTACTCTTAATATTAATGATGTTTGATGATTTAAAATTTGATTGTGCATTTGGATTACAAGCATGCCACTTTATATTTTGTGGAATTTAATCAGCACTAGCTGCCAGTTGCTGTTACAATCAGAATTGAAATTTATATATAGTGTGTTAGACGTGACAGAACTGTGTTTTGTCTCAATTTTTGATTATTAGAAAATATATGTATTTTAGAGCTGGTCAGGTTCACGCTGATATGCAAAGAGCTGGCTCTAGAAGGTAACAATACGTTTACCCTCCTCACACATAGATACACACACCAGCTTGGATTCCGTAGTGTCCGACTTCCAAGGAAACGCAGCCTTCAATGTTTTTATTTTGAGTGATGAGCTATGATCCTGCTGAGCTGATCTCAGTGCTCCGCTCACTGATGGAATCTGGAATTTGTGTGTTAGCTGGTCAGGAATCAGAATACAAACCAAGCCCGGGCCGAGCCTTCAGCAAAATTCATGTAATGACTAACTTCATCTTTATTTTACTTGCAGCTCTTTTTTGCCATATACGAGATGTTTTTTTTTTGTTTTTTTTTAG